AATATTGTTTGCAAACTTTTATAAGTAGGTACCTACTGTACTTACCTACCTACCTACTTGCTCATTTGTGCAAAAAGTCGCAACTCAAAAAATGCAATAAACCAGAGTCATGTCTTCAATTGCTAAAATCTTCAATTCCTAAACAACGCAAATTGATATCGTTGTAATTGTATTTTTTGCCATTAGTCAAAGCTTTTTATTCTTCTATCTTTAACGTACCGCCTTAGAGAAAGAATTCCTGATAATGACATCCACGCGTGTCAACAAAACGTTGAGAATAAAAAGCCCTGAACGACGACCAAAAAGCCCGAAAACTTACAAAGATTTCCTAAACCACAGCTAATATAAAGTGAAATCAGTTGACCCTAGACAAATATTTTCAGTCTCTCTCCAGTCTCTCGGAGTCTTTCAGCGTCTCTGAGAGCGTCTCTCACAGTCTTTCACAGTCTCTCAGTTATTGTCTAGGTGTTTTTATGGATCTCTCACAGTCTCTGTATGAGAGACTCGAACGATAAAATTGTTAATTCAGAGATTCGAGTCTCTCACAGAGAGACTGAATAAATAAAACTGAAAAATTGAGAGACTCGAGTCTCTCGTAGAAAGACTGGGATCTCTGAAATATGTTGAACTTTTAACCATGTCTATCGAGACACCATTTATTGAGAGATTTGAGTCTCTCGTTTAGAGACTGGATAGGAAATGAGCGACTCAAGTCTCTCGCTCAGAGACGCTAAACAGTTTTTTCGACAGTCTCTCGAGTGTCTCTCTCAGCGACACCAGAGAGGCGGAGACTCGAGTCTCGCTTTCAGAGACTCTGAAGGACTGAACATTTTTATCTCGGGGAGCATGGCGAATTACTGAATTCCTTTTTAGAAGAATAAATTAAAATTATCTTACGTGGATCTGTCAGAATAGCGTCTTTATTATCTTACGAGAATGATTATTTTCGTAGGTATTTGTATATGACCGTTACTTGTAGTTTGAAATGTTTGTGACAGAACGAAATATAATTTTTTTTTTTAATGATAAACAGTTGACCAATTTTGATTACAGTTTACACGAGCCGTGTTAATAAAGTAGAAAATACACTTTTCGATTTATTATTAAACATAATATCTATCCGCGAGACGTCCCTTAATGAAGGTCTATTTTTATCATATTGATTCTTTTTGGCGCATGCCAGCTGAAACAGTAGTTGCCAAAATACACAACTTTGAATGTGTGAAAACGAATATGTGCTACATTCAAATACAATAACGGATATTTAGGTACAAACATCAATATTATCTGCAGAAAATAATTTTCATGTTTTCTTTGAACAACCAACTGTTCTGAAAGCGCACATGTTTGTTAAAGAAGAAGAAGATCTCGGAGTATGTACCTGCAGAGGTATGTTGTGTGATTTTGATTGCTCAATAGATAGGTACATAGTTTATTACGTTTTTCATGTGTATTGTGTAGGTACATAGGTAATAAATAGCTAACCGAGTCGTATTCATCAAGAGGTGCCAAAGTTCTTTGGCAATGCTTTAGCAATGAAGAATCCTTTAAGAGGAACAAGGAATGTTAATAAATGCCCGAGCATGATACTGAAGAAAAGTATGATTAGTTCTTGAGCTAGTAACCTATATCAACTAAAATAACAATTTTCGACACAAAAGGGGTTTTGATGATTTATTAGTACTTATAAAAATAAAATTAATTGATCGTGAACGTATAATTTTAATCGCATAAACACCTTTTGACACAGTATTGTATTGAGTAGAGTAAAATAAATGATTGTTAGAAACTATTGTTTCCGCAAATTATCTTTATTGAGTTATAAACCAACGAAATCCTCCTTTATATGTCTGTTGTATTACTTATTAGTAAAATTTGTAACATCTTTTTATAAAGTTCATTTAATTGGATAATGTGTGAAAAGCAGTCACAAAAACATAAATTTTTGCCGATAGAATTTGAATATTTTAGGAAAAACTTACACATTTGTAATCAAGAGTAAGGACAAGGTCAAATGAAAGAGATATGAGACGTAAATATTTTGCAAGGTTCAAAAACATTTGTTAAGTAAGTTAAGCAATAATAAATTGTCGCTACTTATTGGAAATAATAATCATTATGTTTAGGAATAACTACAAATTTTAAAAATAGACCATCAAGTAAAAAGTTTCCTTAGTGTAAATAATTTATAAACTGATGATGTATATGATGAAAAACTATAATCAAAAGAAATATTTATTCAACGTAACTGTTGTAGGGTTATTTCGAGTATATTTATTATATTATGACGCATGTATACGTATTTATTTCAAGATTAAAAATAATGCGTACAATTATCTTAAAATTATATATCTATTTGAAAATACTTAATGCTTAACAAGTATAAGTACCTACTTCTAAAAATTTCCAATGTGATTGCTTTTGTTCTCGAACTTTATAGAAGCTTTAATTATTTTAACATTTTTTAGCAATTTATAAGTTTTGGTTATTATNTTCAAATCTATCTCGTAAATTAATAAAAATCAGAAAATAGGCTGAAAATAAAATATAATTAGTCATAAAAATTCAACAAACTAGTAAAAATCGTGTACATACATTTGTATTTTTGGTTTTCAAGGACGCATGAATTATTAAAAATACATACATAAAAATGTAATTCTAGTAATAGCGCAGTTTTTGATCAAGAATAAAATTTAAATTACTTATTTGGAGATTAGCACAAGCGTGGAATAAGCGAGAGATTATTTGAACCTTAAAGCTAAGTTTTCGTAATTTTAATCATTCATTAAGTCGAAAAACTGGAAAGAACTTCAAATTTACAGCATTTTTAAAATTGTTTAGAGCCAATAAAAACGTCATTCTAAATTTTCAGCTGATAATTCGCTGTTGTATACAAGGAGGACGAATTGAATAGTGCTTATAAAGGAAATAAATAGATACGACACAATTGTTACGAGTTAGTTAACATAAAACCTTTTATGAAAATTGAAACTAGTTTACAAATGTATAAATAATATTCCCATAACTGTAAGAAGTTTTATAAAACTTGTTGAATCAGTATTTTTCCCGATTCAGTATTAATAAGTCCTTAATTAACGGTATAATTAAGCTTTTATGGCAGAGGCGATTATGTCGTTGTAGTTTATAAAATTGTTATCTTACGGTGAAAGCGAAAATTTTCAATTATTGTTATCATCTGTGTAAGATTAATCGGCGAGGTAAAGTAAGCAAGTTTTGTCGGATCATTATTAGTTCTCTGCAAAATTTTGTAGTGTAAATAGGCAGTGGCAAAGGTCGAAAGCTTTTATTAAATTTAGTGATGATTGGTATACTAGATAAACTGTGTGCTGCATCAAAAAGGAGTAATAATGATACTAAAGGTAATTCACATTTTAATTAATAAATTTATGATCTAACAAAATAATTTAAAAGGATTAATATTCGTAGTCTCGCTTTGACAATGTCCAAATAAAAGTTAAGCAGAAGACGTGTTTCGGTCAGTAAAATTTGTTGCGGTTAATTATCTCGTTTTTTATTTATTCGTAGAATTATTTTAAATTTTACCACTAAACTGAAACAAAAAGCACACGGTTTTTGAGTATGACAGGTTTTCTAAGAAATCTTTCTCTTGTACATTTTATTTTTATGGTTACTTAATTCATCGAAATTATATAACTTTTGCAAAGCTTTTAAGGAAACCTACTGATGACAGTGATATTTTTTGCATTTGGAAAACAAGATTTTTTAGAAATGAACAGTCGACTTCTAAAATAAAGCAGTTATACATAAATTTTATTTTAATTTTTTTCCTAACGCTTTCACTTTTCAATAAGATTAAACTAGACAGTTTTATTATTTGAGGAAAGGTATGTTTTAAATATTGGGTATTTAGATAAACTGCGTGTTCAGAGAAATAAAAACAAGAGATTAAAAATATAATCCAAGAATTTAATCTAACAGAACAACAGTAAACTATATTTATTAAGCGCTGAAGGAAAGAAAGAGTACCACCGCAGATTTTTGAAGTAAAATTTGAAAAAGTTTATATACTACAAGGGTTAATATATTTTCAATCTTGACGTAGTACTCAATCTTCCACAAATATTTTAATTAGTAGTTGATTATTATTGAAGATGTCATACAGTCAAGAAAAAATCACCATTACGCATCAATTAGAAAGGATTAATTCAAAGTATATATCAATTTTAAAAGCTTTATTGACAACGCAGAATGTTTTGATTTTTAAATTTTCATTTATGTTATCAAAACTTTCGTAATATCATCACGAAACAATAACACTCTAAAGGAACAAGCAGTTAACCTATGAAGATTACAGGATTTATCATTTCATTATATTTTATCGTCTTTATTGATATATTTCACGGTCGATGATTATAGATATCTNTAAATAAATAAAAATCAGAAAATAGGCTGAAAATAAAATATAATTAGTCATAAAAATTCAACAAACTAGTAAAAATCGTGTACATACATTTGTATTTTTGGTTTTCAAGGACGCATGAATTATTAAAAATACATACATAAAAATGTAATTCTAGTAATAGCGCAGTTTTTGATCAAGAATAAAATTTAAATTACTCGTTTGGAGATTAGCACAAGCGTGGAATAAGCGAGAGATTATTTGAACCTTAAAGCTAAGTATTCGTAATTTCAATCATTCATTAAGTCGAAAAACTGGAAAGAACTTCAAATTTACAGCATTTTTAAAATTGTTTAGAGCCAATAAAAACGTCATTCTAAATTTTCAGCTGATAATTCGCTGTTGTATACAAGGAGGACGAATTGAATAGTGCTTATAAAGGAAATAAATAGATACGACACAATTGTTACGAGTTAGTTAACATAAAACCTTTTATGAAAATTGAAACTAGTTTACAAATGTATAAATAATATTCCCATAACTGTAAGAAGTTTTATAAAACTTGTTGAATCAGCATTTTTCCCGATTCAGTATTAATAAGTCCTTAATTAACGGTATAATTAAGCTTTTATGGCAGAGGCGATTATGTCGTTGTAGTTTATAAAATTGTTATCTTACGGTGAAAGCGAAAATTTTCAATTATTGTTATCATCTGTGTAAGATTAATCGGCGAGGTAAAGTAAGCAAGTTTTGTCGGATCATTATTAGTTCTCTGCAAAATTTTGTAGTGTAAATAGGCAGTGGCAAAGGTCGAAAGCTTTTATTAAATTTAGTGATGATTGGTATACTAGATAAACTGTGTGCTGCATCAAAAAGGAGTAATAATGATACTAAAGGTAATTCACATTTTAATTAATAAATTTATGATCTAACAAAATAATTTAAAAGGATTAATATTCGTAGTCTCGCTTTGACAATGTCCAAATAAAAGTTAAGCAGAAGACGTGTTTCGGTCAGTAAAATTTGTTGCGGTTAATTATCTCGTTTTTTATTTATTCGTAGAATTATTTTAAATTTTACCACTAAACTGAAACAAAAAGCACACGGTTTTTGAGTATGACAGGTTTTCTAAGAAATCTTTCTCTTGTACATTTTATTTTTATGGTTACTTAATTCATCGAAATTATATAACTTTTGCAAAGCTTTTAAGGAAACCTACTGATGACAGTGATATTTTTTGCATTTGGAAAACAAGATTTTTTAGAAATGAACAGTCGACTTCTAAAATAAAGCAGTTATACATAAATTTTATTTTAATTTTTTTCCTAACGCTTTCACTTTTCAATAAGATTAAACTAGACAGTTTTATTATTTGAGGAAAGGTATGTTTTAAATATTGGGTATTTAGATAAACTGCGTGTTCAGAGAAATAAAAACAAGAGATTAAAAATATAATCCAAGAATTTAATCTAACAGAACAACAGTAAACTATATTTATTAAGCGCTGAAGGAAAGAAAGAGTACCACCGCAGATTTTTGAAGTAAAATTTGAAAAAGTTTATATACTACAAGGGTTAATATATTTTCAATCTTGACGTAGTACTCAATCTTCCACAAATATTTTAATTAGTAGTTGATTATTATTGAAGATGTCATACAGTCAAGAAAAAATCACCATTACGCATCAATTAGAAAGGATTAATTCAAAGTATATATCAATTTTAAAAGCTTTATTGACAACGCAGAATGTTTTGATTTTTAAATTTTCATTTATGTTATCAAAACTTTCGTAATATCATCACGAAACAATAACACTCTAAAGGAACAAGCAGTTAACCTATGAAGATTACAGGATTTATCATTTCATTATATTTTATCGTCTTTATTGATATATTTCACGGTCGATGATTATAGATATCTGAATTGCAAATGTATGCTCATTTAGTTCCTCGAATGCTTGATGCAATTTCTTCAAAAGCAATAAAAAATATTTTATCTGGAGCACCTATAAATTTTATCATTTTTAGTAAGGAGTATACTATATGGTTATAAATTGGTGTCTAACCATAAAACAGCATAAAGATTTTTAAATTAATAGGTTCGCTATGAAATGATAAAAATAAGAAAATAATTATTTTTATTATCTGCGTTCAACTTACTAATTACAAATATCCACTAGTTTACCTTGAGTAATTTACCTTTCTGTGTTCCTGTAACAGTAGCAATTAATATTTAGCAAAATTGCAGATTATTACTTCAACAATTAATTAATTTGCAATCAATATCTGCTAGATTAATTATTACACGCATTATTATTCGCAATCAGTGGACTAAGAATTTAAAAAGGATTGGGGGGAAAATATATTAATCAAAGTGGAAATGTGCTATTAATTTTTAATATTTTCTGTAAATAAATCCATCATAAGATAGAGACGGGGAAGTTATAATTTATACTAGATGTAGTGGCTGTAACAAGCCGTACCCCTATTCATCCCTTTGGGGGTTATATTTTGAAATATCCTTCCTTATTTCTTGTTTACATTATAAATGTAACCTCTGTGTAAAATTTCAGCTGTATAGATGCTAGGGCGTTGATGAATCAGTGAATCAGGAATTTTCTGCATGTAAAAATGTAAATTTATACAATCTATTCTAATAAAACTCATGGAAATTCGTTTTCTAAATGAACTATCAACGTAGATTTACGTTGTTAGGACTATTAAAGTCTCTTAATAATTTCGCACACGTGTACTAAGGATGATTTATTTGCCTTTTGTTCTTTTTCATTTGTCTAGATTGTCCTGCGTTAGAACTCTATGAATTATTTTTTATGTTAGAAATATTTATTTAAGAGTTATCTTTGACGTATTTTAGCAAAAGAGAAATTAACATGATAGGTTAATGTCTGGCATAAAGTATCGGGTTATCTTTAAAATCATATTTATGTTTGATATGAAAAGATAATTAAAGTGGCTTTAAGTAGTTAAGATAAGAAGTAAATTAAATAACACAGTTCTTTTAGCAAGCTGTATTAGCTTTATTGAGGGGCTAATAAATAACACTTTGAATGAAGCTCTCGTTATTAGCTTTATCTAATCAGAGAGCCCGATACTTTTGTTGGTGTTGTTTATGTTTGAGTTGAGTTTAAACGAAATGTAGAAATGCTATTTTTTAATTGTCAATTTATTATTTAACATAACAGTATTTATGAAGATGAATGATTAGCGACAAGCTACAATATTTAATTTAAGGATGTTTGGGAGGTATGTCAAAATGCTACGAGACAAATAAAAATTTAGAAGGACGTTCCTCATTCAATTCTAAAACTTCTGTAAAAATTACAAATCGATTCACTAAACCGTTAAAAAGTTATTGAAATTTTAAAAAATTGTAATTTTACACGTCATTTTATGGAGATTCGTTAACCGAACAGATTAAATTTATTTTTATTAACAGAAAAAAAGCTACCAGAAATTTCAAACTTTTATAATAAGTAACTTGAACTCTGGAGAATCACTTTAGCGTAAGGTTATTCAAATTCACTAAATGGTTATCGAGGAAAAAATGAAAAATTAGCTGAAAATCTCGTTTTTACTTGATAATATAATGATAATATTTATAATTGTCTGAAATAAATGCAATTTTAAAGTTTTAATTATTATTTAAACATATTAAAAAGTTTTACGCTCATTATTAATAGAGATTGAAACTAAATATTTTTTTGTTTCGAAGTTGAAATCAAGGCATATTCACTGTCAAAAGTCAGTTAAAAATTTTCCATATTATTCGTTATTTCTTATTTTATTCAAAGTTTTCGGTCAAATTACAAATTTTCTCTCAAACCGTATACTTTTTTTTAGTATAGATAGTATTTATTTACCTCATGATATGCTGCAAAACCTAATTAATCACGAATTTCTAATTGTATGTACTCTTGTCTCCGATTGTACCTCCCAAACATCCTTAAGAGTTTGTAAGAAAAATAGTGTAAGAAGTATGATTCTAAAGGTCATACTTAAATGCCATTTATTTGATTTATTTATTACATAATACACTCCGTTTTTCGTATGTTTATAAAATAGATGCGATAAAAGTCGATACAGGTAATAGGATAAAGGTCTGAACAAATTTCCACAAATATTAATTGTTCTCGTAACAATATTGTTTTTCCAAAGATTGGTTTCTTCAGATGGATTAAGTTTCGCACATTTTTCCTTAAATGCATATTTCAGTTTTAGATGGAATTGACCATTTTTCTTTATTTGTAGTGACACCGAGGATAACATTGTGTACATTACATTTTAAAGAAATTGTTCTATTATTACCAAATGGCAAAGACAAAATTCAATGGGAATGTTTATCTATATAACCCTGTATGTTTATTAGCTTAATCTGTATACCTACAGGTATATGAATTTCTTGGTAAGAAATATCCACAATGATGCCCCATTTGGATATTTGCATATTCCAAAAATTGAAATGATTAAACATATGAGTTAACAAATCACCGGTAAATTATTTGTCAACAGAAGATCATCAAGGTAACAAAGACAATGTTCAGATAGATGAAAATTACAAATTACCCCTATTAATTTTATTAATCGCTGTTTCTTTCTATCTACTTAAAATTAATTACAAAAAGCAAAAAATATACTTGGAATTTTACATGGTTTCAATTTTTGTTGTCACAAGTTTTTTTTAGAGACAAATCAGTTTGATTTTCAGATACAATTCCTCATTTTTTCTCTTAAAGCTATCTTATCAATAGTAGCAATTAAAAAACTTTAGTGGCTCTTCAATTTCTTGTAACTGTTAGATTAAAATTATTTATCTGATAAAAGTTTGTTGCTTTATCTCGTGATAAAAATTTTAGAAACATGATTTTTTTGCTAATGGCGTCTTGATATTATTGTAATTATCAAAAATGGAAAAAATTGCAGACAAAAGTTGTTGCTGTACCACGATTTCGATTTTGTAATATTGGAAATATATAAAAAACCATATTTCTTCTAAATACATAATGAATTATGCCAAATGCTGCTAGTTAAAGCCCGTAACGTTATAACTCATAGCATATTTCTCAGCAACACAAATAACTTATCAGATACTGACATAAAATAAAATACTTAGTTATTTTTGTGATTCTTTCCTCAATGTTAATTTAGCAAATCTTTTCTTTCAATTTCGACATTAACTGATATTGGTAAATCATATCCATTAATTGGGTTTCCATAGTAAGCGATACTACAAAATGATCTTCATATTGGGTTTACTATTAGCTAGTCATTTCTTAAGATGATTTATTACCAAATGAAATTGACGAATGGATTAAGTATACAATTACTTTATAACAGTTGGGAGTCTTACCTTCACTGTTATGCAAATTTTTAAAAGAATTTAGTGGGAATCCTACAGGATTTTCTGTCGTCGACATTCAGTCTGTTGGGTTTGGGTTCTGGAATAGAATCTTTTGTACTGTGTCATTTTGTTTTGAACTAAAAATTCTAGTTTTTCTTAACTTAGATAAAGGCAGATAAAAAGAATAAGAAGGAATTCTTATTACTAATCATGATTTCGTAAAATTCAAAGGAAATATTGTTTCAAGCATTTAATTTAGAATGTTTTCTCCTTCAATTTCTAAATTCATTTTAGACCATGATATTTTTCATTAAATAAAATGTAAACTATCTACGTATATAACCTTAGTTAAATTAATGGCTTTTAATACAATAATTTGTTTGTTTAGTACTGTATTAATTATAAATCTTTCTCCCGTTTCATTTTTTTAGCCTTAACATTTATACATCTGAGTAGCAAAAATTATTGTATATACTTGACCTCGAAAATGAAATAACTAAATAAAAATTTAATTAAAGCGAATTTCAACAAATTATATTTAAAGAAATACTCTTACAATTTGTTTGACGAGACCGTCATTATCAAAGAGTAAACAAGAATTAATTAATTTTTGTTTACCCTCGTCTCGTCGAAGCAATTGTCATAGCCTTTCTTTAAATATAATTTGTCAAAAATTAAAATACAAACGTAGGCGGATGTCTACATGAATATAATGAAATTGGAATCCTTTAATGAATGTTAAAACAAACAATACAAAAAGTTGAATGTCTGGGCAAATATGACAAATTCATTCATTCATTTAAACCTTCTACTATCAAAAAATACGGAGAATCAGTAATTCAAAACGCATGTGTCTACGTTATTACCATTATTACGTAGACAACCAAACATACGATACTATGTAAAGGATTGAAACAACATTACGTTATGATCTCATTGCAAAATTGTTTCAAAATAATTGGTCAGCGCAATTAACACAAAATAATATTTCCCTAATAGATTTAAGACAAGGCAAATTAGGCTAATTAGTATCTGTACTTTAGTAAAGTGGCAGGCATTTTTTAAAACTTTTCTCGAAAATAAAGACTTTTGTCTTTCAATTTTCAGAAGAAAAACCTAGTGTACTGGTCCTATTCCTAGCTGAAGTTGTTGGAACTGCTATGCTCATATTTTTAGGATGTATGGGATGTGCAACAGGAATGGTAGATATGGACGTGTTACCTCACTGGTCAGGTCTAAACTTTGGGCTAACAGTTATGACTGTGATTCAGGTAAATGCTTCAAAGAGATTTGACTCATTTAACACAGTTCTATTTAAAACTGCTAAAATGACACGTTAGTTTCCAATCATGATCAAGTCAAGCTACGTTATCTTCTCATTGCGGTTCGCGTCGTACATTTAGTAAGTTATGTATTTAATCTCCACTTTTTTCTCTAGTCCTCTTGATAGTACAGTTTGACTCGACTCTGGTGGAAAATACTCACTGTACTCACATGCTTGAGCTGCATATATACATGCAAATAATGAATACAAGAAAAACCTTCCAAAGTATGCATCAGTATTCTTACATATCAGCAAAATGCAAAATATTACATACAATCATCAAAAAGGGCCATCGTCTTTTCAAAAATATATGACGTGGTATAGGAAAATTCAGCAATCTTCTTAAACAAGTTACAAAATAAATGCAATTTAATGCTTTTAATAATCAAAGTTGTGTTTAATCTCATATCTTGGTGACATATGTTTTTTTTTTACATATCGTTTATTTGAAATTCACCCATCTCCGTTCTATAAGTTTGAAAGTCTCAATGTCATTATTAGATTAAGTTTATTTTACCAAACTTATTAATAATTTTTAGACAGTGGGTCATATATCCGGGGCTCATCTTAATCCACAAGTATCTCTGGGAGCAGTTATTTTGGGCAAATTAGACATACTGCTGTTTCCAGTGTATTTGGTTGGACAAACATTGGGTGCCTTAGCGGGTTTTGGTTTATTATGGGTAAGCAATAGGATACGTAAGCCCTTTACAACTCTTACGATCAATGTTATTTTAGGTACTGACTCCCAGTGACTATCATAACGAATTGTGCATAACAAAACTTCATACGAAACTGAATGTATACCAGGTAATAAATATATTTGAATATCTAATGTGAAAAAGTATCCTAGAAGTCGAATTAAAATAAATTTTTATTTCAAAATTACCTTTACTCGCGTGTCCTAAATTAATTTTATTGAAGAAACCTCCACTCTGTCTTGACTTATTCAAAAGGTAAAAAATTAGTCATGATGTATTCTCGACCTTTTGCTATATGTATACATGTTAGGTAATTCGATTCAAATAAAGGTTTGCGTATACATGATTTGAAACAAAAAATTTTGAAATTAGTATACACTTTATCTGGCATGTTGTATCTAGGAATAGTAAGACGTCGTTAAGGTAATCTTGTTTTACAGGGTTTATTTGTGGAAGTAGTCATAACTGCACTTCTTTTGATGGTATGTGCAGCAGTTTGGGATCACAGAAATTCTAGAAATACTGATTCTACGCCTGTTCGTTTTGGATTGTTTATTGCACTTATGTCAATGGTCGCGGTAGGTAGAAGCATACGTACATAATAATAATATTTTATGGTGTTTGTAAAAATAAAACATTAACTATTTATTTATTATATTGTTTATGAAAACCATTTTGTAACAGAGTTATATTAATCTTTAGGGTCCATATACGGGAGCAAGCATGAATTCAGCAAGAAGTTTAGCTCCAGCCATACTTACCAACAGTTGGAGTAATCACTGGGTAAGTACAAAATAAGATAATAATTAGTTTAGTCATGAAAATTGCAATTATGTGTATTATACATTACACATATAAATAAAATTTGATTTGTCTATTGTATAGTATCGAAATAACTGCCTTTTAAGGGTTTTGCACGCCCGAATGAAAAATGAAACCTTTATAGGATCACTCGTGTGTCTGTCTGACAGTATGTCACAGTCAATTTTCTCCGAATCTACTGGACCGATTAAATTAATTAATTATAAACAGGGGGCTCATTTTTGGGAGGCTAACAGGAAATTAAAAAAAAGTTTTGCAAACTGGCAGTGATCCAATGAAAGGGCTTGTTGTAAGGGTCTCAAATATATACAGTGTGAACTCTTTATAACGTCACTCGATTTAACGACAAACTCCTTAAAACGTCGAAATTGCTTGACTCTGATTGGTTTACATTGTTTTCTATACAATATTACGCTCTATATAGCGTCCCGCTCACTCTATTTAACGATAACAATGCGGCATTATAAATTATTGAGCAGTACTTTCTAAGTTGCCGAAATACATAAGAACTGCAGTTGTGTACGTTGTTGAAGAAGACTGTCCTGTCCCTCCACCAAGCATCAAACAAGAACTTTTTATATAATCAATTGATCCAGCAGTATCTCAAGATATGTGTAAGATACGTAACAAAATACAATTAAAATATTGGAGCAGCAAAAAACATCAGACGAAGATAACCGGCTATACGCAATGTATGAATAATAATGTTCGTGTGCACTATATTGGTAAATGCATATTATTATAGAATAGTAAAATAACATCTTTTATTTCTCTCCATTTAACGACCACTCTTTATAACACCGAAAAACGTTCAGTCCCTTAAGTGTCGTTATATAGAGTTTACACTGTATTTTTTATAATAACTACGATGTTAAGTTGGTTCACGGATTAGGGTTCCGTATGTTCGAATGAAAAATGGAATTCTTCTAGGATCACTCGTGTGTCTGTCTGTTCGTTTTTTAAACTCTTATGATTATTTGTATTCTATTAAAATAGAAACGACTTAAGTCTGTGGTCTGAACATAACGTGATAAACATGTTCTTTTTAACTACTATGTTATGTTGGTTCATGGGTTAGGGTTCCGTACGTTCGAATGAAAAATGGAATTCTTCTAGGATCACTCGTGTGTCTGTCTGTCTGTTTTTTAAACTCTTATGGTTATTTGTATTCTATTAAAATAGAAACGACTTAAGCCAAGTGTCTGTTTAACATTAATTACAACTAATCTTAAAGTTGTCGCAGAATTACTATTACTCGCATACATTGTTTCGAATGCTCTTTAGACATCCACCTTCACTGTTCTACAAATATAAAGGTACAATTGGAAATTGATACAATGGCAACTACTTAATTAACATATGTAGAATATTTCATTCATCATATCATCATTTAATTTTTAAATCTGTTACAGATATACTGGGTGGGTCCAACTGTAGGAGCTGTTCTCGGTTCTGGATTTTATAAAATTGTCTTCTACCAATCAATTCCTATAATATGAGTGGAACATTCTTAAATAGATACTGTTAAACTTAATAAGAAGGATCAGATTGTTAATTTTATTAAATTGAAATGTGATCTGAAATGTGCCATAGAAAAGATGTACAAATTAGCCACACATTTTTTTACATTAAAAATAGAAAGGTATTTTATTATTATGAGAAGTAAATGACTAACAGTGAGTACCACATGAAAAATTGTAAATAAATATTATTTTTATGTGGCTAGACATTTCTTTTACAATCCTCTCCTGCCCTAGGTGTAAAAGAAAAATTTTCAAACGGAATAGTTACGTAATAGGTATTTCATTTTTTAAACTACGAAGAGTTTATTAATATGAAAATTCATTTTAATTTTTTCCCACTATAAACTACCTCAAGTTAATGAGGGAAAATTTGTTGCTGTTGTCAACCTAGATAAAAATTTTCAGTCTCTCTCCAGTCTCTTAGAGTCTTTCAGCGTCTTTGAGAGCGTCTCTCACAGTCTTTCACAGTCTCTCATTTATTGCCTAGGTGTTTTTATGGATCTCTCACAGTCTCTGTATGAGAGACTCGAACGATAAAATTGTTAATTCAGAGATTCGAGTCTCTCACAGAGAGACTGAATGAATAAAACTGAAAAATTGAGAGACT